CCGAACTGACATATTAAAGATGATAAAATATGACTTCCACTTCGATCAATAATCGAAAAAAACTAGTGCAGATACCAATTGGAATGAGTGGAACGTGAGTGTTCAAGTAGTTTTCAGCGAAAACTGGTTTTCATTTGACAGATTTTACATGGACGAAAACACAAGTTTTAGGTCGAAAACCAGTTTTAGCAACGAAAACATGTTTTCGATGTCGGTCAAAACATGGTATTACTATGCATTTTTCTATAAACAAAAATTTTATAAAATGAGACTCCAGTAATTTTCATCTTATGTGGATAGTTATTGTCACAAATACATAGCTTGGTGCTTATATGTACGTATATATATTTTTTAGCAAAAAGTTGTACTGTTACAAGTCGCAGGGCATCATTTTAACTCGACATCCTCCCTAATCCACGGATAACGGTACATCGTTTAGAGGTTTAAAAATATTTTGAGTCAGCTATTTTTTATCAAACTGCATTAGATCGTGTTACGTACTGGATAAACTTGGGAAACACTGCTTCTATGTTTTACCGCTGCACATTTTTATTTATTTAAACATATACTTACTAGCAGACCCGGCGAACTTCGTCCCGCCCGAAATTAATTTTTTTATTGAAACATTTGGTCCAACGTTTTCACCAGCAATTCACGTTTACGTTTGGTTTTGTGGTCGACAGAAGGCATATACTACATTGCCGTCTTAAATAACCTGACGAAAGCATTATACCGGGAAGAAGACCTTGCGTCTCGATGGTGAATCGTCCTTGAACCTGTATAGTATAGTTGGTGGCAATTTCCAAAGTGGTGAGTATCATTGGTACACATTCTGTTTAGTCAACGTAAAGCAAGGACCGCAATGGTTCTGATGGTTGATTTAACGGGGGTTATTTGACTTTGATCTCTGGTGCCTCCAAATTGAGGATTTTTAGCAATAACTCGGCTTCAGCGCCACCTTGCGCATCTTTTTTTGCAATAGTATTGCCCCTATCGTTACCAATACATATATATCTCGAATATGAGTCAAATCGGATCACAAATAGCATTTTGAGTAATAACTCGACTCCAGCGCCACCTGGCGCTTTAATTAG